GGTCCTAGCACATGAGATGTCCCAGGCGTGAGCAAGTAGGCAGCCAGCTCTGAGTCTGCCTCTATGTAAAGTTTGTGTAGTAGTCATGGCATGTAATCCATGAGGCCATTCTTGTACCACCTAACCCCAAGGCTGCCTGTCCTGGACCAGGCTCTGGGAGTAGCTTTGGGAGCCTCCCTGCGTCAGCCACATCCTTCCTGGGTCCATGTTCCAAGAGCTTCCACTGTAAGCAGCCACAAGGGCCTGTGCACAGCTCCAGCATCCCCCTGTGCCGAGACCAGCTTGGTCGTGAAGACCCCAACCCAGGCGCTGCTGAAGGAAATAAGAAACAGACACAAGGATAGACTGCAGAGTGGGCTCAGGGGGCTAACAGCATTCTGAGCCGAGAGCCCAGAGCAGACTCTGACCCACGTATTTATTCTTTGTGAGCTGTGTTTTTTCACAGAATAAAGATAAACTAAGCAGGCAGATAGTGCCTGTTCTCAACTAATTAAAGATAAACTAGAAAGCATTCTTTACAAGGGAGCAATGGGGGCTAAGTCACACATCTATGTTTAAAGAACTGGTTTAGCTAGTGCATGACCTATATATACTGTCTACTATTTTTAGAATGCACTGAGCAGTTTTCCACCTGGGGACAGCTCGGTGTTTCTTGCTGTCATTCTCAGTGAACAGTATAACCCATCACACACATCAAGACCTGTCCCCCTCACCCCTACACACACACACACACACACACACACACACACACACGCACGCACACACGCACACACACGCTGGCAGGGACCACAGACAGGCGCAGAGGTGGGCACCTCAAGGGTAGTCCCTATGGTCCTCTGGAGGAAAGAGGCTTCCCTCTGACTCACTTCCCTCCCCGGCTATGCTCTGACCCCAGGTGCGGCAGCGGATCGGCTACTGCCCACAGTTTGATGCCTTGCTGGACCACATGACTGGCCGGGAGATGCTGGTCATGTATGCTCGGCTCCGGGGCATCCCTGAGCGCCACATTGGGGCCTGCGTGGAGAACACTCTGCGGGGCCTCCTGCTGGAGCCACACGCCAACAAACTGGTCAGGACGTACAGGTGCACCCCCCAAGCCTGGCCCCTGCGACCAGAAGAGCCCTGGCCCTTCCCAGACTGGATTCACAGTCAGGGTCCCCATAGCATAGAGCTGGGAGTGACCACACAGGTCAGTGGCCAGAGCTCCTGCTTGTGGCTCCAGGATGGAGCTGGGATTTGGTGTCGTGATCCAGGTAGTTCCACGTAGGAGAGAGACTGCCCTGACAGCTCCTGTCACCTAGGGACAAAGCCAGCAGCAGGAGATGCCAGGGTCCCTGGCAGGCCTTTCCTAGGTGCTGGCAGATGTGCTGTGTGGGTGTGTGCACCGGGCCCCTAGACACAGCGTTCTCTGAGGTCTCCAGCTGTATGCGATGGGCTCTCCAGATGCACACAGCTCCTTCCTCTTCACTAGGGCTGTTCTGTGATTGCTGGGTGTGGGCCTCTTCAGGGATACGGGCCTCGACTGGGATACGGGAGCCAATGCTAACTCTCAGCCTTATTCCCCCACCTGGCACTCGCCTGCCCCTAGTGGTGGTAACAAGCGGAAGCTGAGCACTGGCATCGCCCTGATTGGAGAGCCTGCTGTCATCTTCCTGGACGAGCCATCCACTGGCATGGATCCCGTGGCCCGGCGCCTGCTCTGGGACACTGTGGCACGAGCCCGTGAGTCCGGCAAGGCCATCGTCATCACCTCCCACAGGTAGAGCCTGGGTCTGTGGTCACTGGAAGTTTCAGAACTGAGTGGGCTGTGGAGGAGCCAGGTGGCCACACTCTGATCATGGGTATCAGGAACGGCCTGATCAGGGTACCAACCCCCCTTCCTGTCTGCACGAGCCTTTGGCACTCCCAGCCCTGTCTCAGGCCCCGCCCTCTCCCCAGCATGGAGGAGTGTGAGGCCCTGTGCACCCGGCTGGCCATCATGGTGCAGGGGCAGTTCAAGTGCCTGGGCAGCCCCCAGCACCTCAAAAGCAAGTTTGGCAGCGGCTACTCCCTGCGGGCCAAGGTCAGGAGTGAAGGGCAGCAGGAGGCGCTGGAGGAGTTCAAGGCCTTCGTGGACCTGACCTTTCCAGGTGTGTCCCAGCCCTGGCAGCCCCACACTGGGTGGGCCCTGGGACCCTGTCTAGGCCTCTCCCATCTGCTGTGAGACGTGTCTGTGCCTTACCCTGCCATGTCCCATCTCCTCGATCCCTGGGACAAGGATCGCAGTGCCGAGCACCCAGGCACCCTCCCTGATCCTCCAGCCCAGCCCTCACAGCCACGCCATCTCTCCTTGCAGGCAGCGTCCTGGAAGATGAGCACCAAGGCATGGTCCATTACCACTTGCCAGGCCAAAATCTCAGCTGGGCGAAGGTGAGGCAGTCCCTAAGGCCCCAGTGGGTGCTTGTGGGGCTAGGCGACGTCCCTCCAGGGGTCTCTCTGTCTGTGGCAATTCCAGGCTCTTTCGACACAGGAGTTACCTTCTATTTCTCCTCTAACACTCACCCCGATGCTTGCTGGTTTGGGGGGTTTATATTCAAAATATCAGTGGCAAAAGGAATTCAATGTAAAACAGGAAACGGGCCGGGATGGTGGCTCATGCCATAAATCCATCACTTTGGGAGGCCAAGGCGGGAGAATCCTTTAATCCTGAGAGTTCTAGACCAGCCTGGGCAACATAGACCATGTCTCTACAAAATTTTAAAAATTAGCCAGTATCATGGTTGGTGCATGCCTGTAGTCCCAGCTACTCGGGAGGCGAAGGTGGGAGGATTGCTTGAGCCTGGGAGTTCAAGACTGCAGTGAGCTATGATCGTGCCACTGCACTCCAGCCTGGGCTCCAGAGCAAGACTCTGTCTCTAAAAAAAATAAAATATAGAAAAAGAAAACAAAGAAACTGACTCAGAAAGGGAACATCACTGGTTCAAGGTTGTACTCTGAGCTGGGAGCAGCGCCAGGAGGAGGCTGGGCCCCGTTCCTGCTGGCTCATACATAGCCAGCTTCCTCTCCTTGCAAGCACAGTGACCTTGCAGGGCTGACTTCTCTGGGGCTGGGCAGTGGTAGGATTGTGGGTGCCTCACCAGCCCCTACTGCCCGAGGACTCCCAAGTCTCTCAGAGGAGCCTGGGCCCTGGCCTGTCCTACCAGTGACTTTTCTGCTCCCCAAAGGTTTTTGGTATCCTGGAGAAAGCCAAGGAAAAATACAGCGTGGATGACTACTCCGTGAGCCAGATCTCGCTGGAGCAAGTCTTCCTGAGCTTCGCCCACCTGCAGCCGTCCGCCACAGAGGAGGGGCGATGAGGGTTGCGGCTGCCTCGCCGCCAGGCAGGGACAGGACAGGCGAGCAGGACCCAGCGTGCATCCTCTCCCTCCAAGTTTATCTCATCCTTTATTTTTAATCACTTTTTTCTATGATGGATATGGAAAAAATCAAGGCAGTATGCACAGAATGGACGAGGGCAGCTGGGCCTTCATGTCCGGGGTGAGCATGCGCGTCTCCACGTCTGAAGGCAGACCCTGGAGTCCACCTTCCCAGAGCTGGAGCGGGCCGGGCAGTCTTTGGGGCGAGCTCTGGGGTCTCTGGGTGGAATCTGAAGGCAGACCCTGGAGTCCACCTTCCCAGAGCTGGAGCGGGCCGGGCAGTCTTTGGGGCAAGCTCTGGGGTCTCTGGGTGGAGTCTGAAGGCACACTCTGGAGTCCACCTTCTCAGAGCTGGAGCGGGCCGGGCAGTCTATGCGGGCCGGGCAGTCTGTGCCGGCAAGCTCCCATGGTCTCTGGATGGAGAGCTGTCCCAGGAAGGGCCGTAGCTGAGCTGGGGGTTTGAGTTTTTCCAGGCGCTCCCTGGAGACAGGACTTAGTAAGTTGTCCACGTTTACACATGACACTAATCTCCCCTGGGGAGGAAGCGGGAAGCCAGCCAGGATGAACTGAAGTGCAGCCCGGCGGCCGCCAGGAATGGACCATGCACATCACTGTCGGTGGAGGGAAGCTGCTGTGGTTAGGTGCTGGGTCCTTAGCATCCGGTGCAGCCTGGGCCTCCTGGAGGTGCTGCTCTTTAGAGCATGGTGGCCGCGGCGGAGCCGGGCATCGTCCCACAGCATCTCCTAGAAGCAGCCGGCATGGGAGGGAAGGTGGCCAGGCTCGAAGCACAGTCTCTGATCCCAGTACTGCACCCTCAGGAAGTCGCCTGCCCCGGGACAGGCAGGGACCACCCCAATGGCTGGGTGGCTGTCACAAGGACACACTGAACACATTGTGACCATCCAGAAAATAAAGGCTGAGGAGACACAGTCACGGTCTGTGAGTCACACATGAGAGGGGGCATGGGGCTCAGTGGCTCACCCACAATCTAGACACAAGGCTCTCCTTTCACGTTTCAAGCACACAAATGTGGGATGTCGTTTCTCCCAGAAGGGATCACATGCAGAGAATAGGAGTTGAAGGAACAGGTCCAGATCACAAAAGGAAAAAGCCATTTAAATGCCCAGTGATGGGCCCTTAGTCTGCAGTCAAGAGGAGTGGGTGGGGCTGTGTGGGAGGCACAGGCTGGGTGGGAGAGAGGCTGATGGCACCAGGGTCCCCCATGGGTGGGCATTCAGCCATTTCCCGGGAATTCCTCTTCATTAGCTCCCTTTTTGTTTATTTATTGAAACAGAGCCTTGCTTTGTTGCCCAGGCTGGAGTGAAGTGGCACCATCTTGGCTCACTGCAACCTCTGCCTCCCGGATTCAAGCAATTGTCCTGCCTCAGCCTCCCTAATAGCTGGGATTACACGCACCTGCCACCATGCCCAGCTAATTTTTGTATTTTTAGTAGAGATGGGGTTTTGCCATTTTGGCCAGCCTGGTCTTGAACTTCTGACCCCAGGTGACCCACCAGCCTTGGCCACCCAAAGTGCTGGGATTACAGGCATTAGCCACTGTGCCCAGCCCCTTTGAATTTATGCACTGTTTTGTATTTTGTTTTTGGAGACAGCATCTTGCTCTGTTGCTCCGGTTCGAGTGCAGTGATGTCATCATAGTTCATTGCAGCCTCAAATACCTTGCTTGGCTCATGCAATCCTCCTGCCCCAACCTCCCAAGTGGCTGGGACTATGGACACATGCCCCCATTCATGGCTAATTTTTTTTTTTAGTATACACGGGGTCTCACCACGTTAGCTAGGTTGCTCCCAAACTTCTGACCTCAACTGATCCACCTGCCTCAGCTCCCCAAAGTGCTGGGATTACAGGCATGAGCCACCAAGCCCGGCCACTGCAGTATTATTTCTTGGGGTTTTCTAAAACTGATTTGAATCTCTGCATTTTACATTCCCTTAGAATTCAGAGTGTTAGAAAAGACTTGTTTTCATCACGTTGGCTCATTTGGGATAATTTCAAGTCTGTGTTTTTATCTGTCTCTGGAAGTTTCCAAAGCTGCAGATAGTCTCCAGTAGCTCTTTTATTCCATTTTAACTTCTGCCATCTAGTTCCATGTTACAAAAAATATGTTTGGGGGTGTTTAGGCCACAGCCACCCCTATGTGTGTCCAAAAGGTCTGAAATGGGCCCTTCTGGCCCCACAGCCTGTCAGCAGGGGCAGTGGCCTCTAGGTCAGGCCTAGAGCTAGGAAGAGGGACAGAGGTCAGTGCACAAGACCACCTGGCCCCATGCTCATGCCCACAGCCCTTCTGCAGGGCGTCCTTGGGCTTGTTTTCAAGCCCATGTGATAGAGATTTGGGAATGTGTCACTTCTATAATACCCTAAAAAGGGGTTGGGGAGAGCATACAGGACTGAGGGTGCAGCCCACGTGAGGCACACACCTGTGAGGCCAGACTGAGTGGACAGGACACACACAGGAGGCGCCACCCTCCTCAGCAGCATGCTGCCAGCACCAGCAGGGGTCTTTAGGTGAGGACTGGCATGACTAGAATGCCTTCTTAGGAAAATGATCTGCAGCTGAGGCTGCTGCTGCACAGGGACTGGGAAGGGCAGGGGCACTCAGGGTGTCTGTGGCAGGGGCCCAAGGCTGCACCCAAGCCTGGAGCTTGGGTGACCTGAGGACCAGCAGGAAGGGCCCATCTGGCATCCAAGGGGCATCCTCAAGGCACTGGAAACTCAGTTCTGGGGCTGGGTCACTAGGGGTGCCCTAAGGAGCCTGGGACTGAAGCCTCAGGACCCCACCCTGGCTGGTTTTTGTCTGAGCTGTGGCAGTTCCCAGCCTACAGAAGGGCAGGTGAAAGGGCCAGGGGTCCAGGGATAGGAGAAACTGGCCCTTCCATGCTCCACCTTAGACCACAGGGGCTCAAGCATTCTCTAGGGACACTGTCCGGGAACAACTGTGGCATCCAACAGGGTCGACTCCTGCCCTGCTCCCAGTTCAGCCTAAAGTCAGACCTGAGACGAGGTTTTGACTTCATTGCTCTGCCTGGCCTGGCGCACGCCTCCCGTGAGCAAACAGCCCAGGGGCCAAAATCCAGGCCTTGGAAAAGCTGGCATCTTCTGTTCTCCAGGGCGGCCCAGCACAACAGCACAGCTCAAGTGACAGCACCCAGAACCCAGAGAGGGTAAGACTTCGCTGTGTAGGCGGGCCAGGCCAAGCCCCTCCACTGCTGTCACAGGTTTACAGTGGAGCAGAGTGGCAGGCTGGCTACAGGCAGCCCAGGCCACAGGTCAGGGGACCCACACCAGGCCACAGGAACAGGCTTGCTGCAGGTATCAGAAAACCCAAGGTCAGGCCGGGCGCGGTGGCTCAAGCCTGTAATCCCAGCACTTTGGGAGGCTGAGGCAGGTGGATCACGAGGTCAAGAGATCGAGACCATCCTGGTCAACATGGTGAAACCCCGTCTCTACTAAAACTACAAAAAATTAGCTGGGCATGGTGGCGCGTGCCTGTAGTCCCAGCTACTCAGGAGGCTGAGGCAGGAGAATTGCCTGAACCCAGGAGGCGGAGGTTGCGGTGAGCCGAGATCGCGCCATTGCACTCCAGCCTGGGA